TAAGGAACATTTAAAAAAAAAAAAAAATTTTAGGTAAAAAAAATATAATTTCGAAAATTTTCAAAAAAAAAATAAGTTCGCGCTCAATGAAATTGTATAAATTATAGGCCTATAAATATTTGAAAAATAGCCACTTTGTTCTAAATTTTATGAGGATTACAAATGTATAATAATATAAGGAAGTATATTTGCAAATAAATAAGTTATGGGCAAAAAACTGATTTCAGTACATAGCGTTTAGCTAAGAATGCATAGCCTAACCATAGCTAGGAATCTGGCTGATAATTTACATCAATATCACTACCTACTTCTTCAGGATCATCAACCAGCACTTCAAAACCACTTAAATCTTCTTATAATGCACCACGTATATCACTAATTTTGATTTTTAACACTAAAACAATGATAAACGTAATAAAACACATCAGTCATCGGTCCGGGGGAACCTAGCTGTTTACAAATACACGCACGTCAGCTGTCTGCTACAATATTTTCGGAACTAAAATGAATAGCGCTTAGAGACAGACCTCTGGAGAAAGCTTAGAATATTACGGAAAGAACGATACCTAACTCGATCCAGTTCAATCCGATTCAGTCAGTCATAGAGCCTTCGCCGTAAACGATGTCTGCGTGTCGAAAAATCGACAAGTAACACTACACAAAGTGTGCTGCTTGTCGAATTTTCGTCAAGTAACACTGGGAGGGTTAAATAAAAGCGGTCCAAACCCATGTTTAGTGGATGGAATTGAAGGGATCCCTTCTAGTAGGTAACCTTTCAAACTGGTGAAGGGACCTACCTGCCCGATATTGAAATCGGTCAGGTTGGTTACTTTTCAATTTGGTGAAGTAATGCACGCCCTCTTGCTCTTGTGGTGGGGGCATCGACTGCTCTCATTGGCTGCAAGGTTTCTGGGGGAGGGAGTAGTTGTTATGGGGTAAACAGTGCTACCAACCCAAAACTCTGGAGCAATAAACATTCCCATACAAGGGTAATGTGGGTAATTCCAATATTATCGGCTACAAAGTAGGTAGTATAAATGCCGAAGGAAATTATATGTATAAAATGTCTAGTTTGAACTTTTCATAGGTGAAATACTGTAAATAACAAAATACGATACTAAGTCCATCATCTTGCGAACCTGTTTCTCTCCATGCCCCTGGGCCACTGCTAGGCTACTTTCTCTTGTAACTAAATCTACAGTACTAACGGGTCAGATTTTATTAATTAACTAGCTGTTGCCGTTGGCATCGCCCGACATACTTTTTCGTCTTTTATTCTTTACTATAAGCCTGCTGAAGTTGTCACTGACTTCGCTATACGGAACGGAGCTACCCTCTCTGGAACAACCTGAATGATGTTTTTACCAAAAATACTACAGTATTCATATCTCCTTTCATTCATAATCATACTCCAAACCAAATTTTCCAATGGTACAGTTAGTTTTCTCTAACTTTATTGAAAAGTATTTCAGATAGTCTAAAGTAGGATTAAAAGTAACACAAAAACATTATTTTATTTAGTGATATACTGTGATGTTCCCTGTTACTGTCTCGGCATGCTCTTGATTTGATATTATTCTTGAATTTTGTTGTCCCTTCTGTACATTTAATAATTAGTAGAGGGCCCATGCTACTCTACAACGTTGAAATTAAAATCATATTCGAGCAATAATCAAATTTATGAATTTTTATTGAGTATCTTGATCTTAACTGGTTCAAACGATAAATAGCTCAAATTAAAACCTTTAATTAACTTATTATTTTGCGTCCAAAACATAAAAAATAGTGGAACTATTGATTTTTAATCATAGAAAACTCTTATAAAAAAAAATAGTTTTTATGTTGGTTGTTCACATTGCAATTGCTTGTAGTACGTCCGATTTGGATAACTAAGTTAATTATAATAGCTTAAATGAAAGCCGGCATTTCACTGAAGGTTCTTAGACCAAAATATGTAGGATTATATAATTATAACTGGTGAAATGCATCTTAAATTGAAGTAAGAATTCGAAAAAGTCAAATACAGTATATGTTTTTTTCCACGAGTAATACATATATGCCGATGCTTAGAGTGAAATCTGTGCACACCTTCAATTTGAGACCTCAATCATGAAAATAGGTTAAATTATTTTTAAATATAAGAAGATTGACTCTATTAACGTTTAACGAAAACTATCACCGTTTTACAACAAATTGTGTAGCAGTTCCGGTTAATGATAACAACCTATACTGAATTGAAGCTTTAGAATAGAAGATTTCAAATGGTTTTTTTAGGTTTCGGGAGCAATGGCTCCTAAAATTTAAATAATGTAGCTACCGACATACTTGTGATAGTACACTTATTTAACAGCTTTTATTGATTTATGCATTATTATTATATAATAAATAATGCTATTTAATAAAATAAAAGATTGGTAATCATGGTTAAACGTACGGAAACTGACTAGTTTTTAGGTGCAAACATGAGGAACAAGCAAATTTTCACAGTTTTGAATGTAAACTGATTTTACTCGAAAGATGTTTGAGATAGAAAAACACTCTTGAAATACAAAGTTGTGGATAGTTTAATTCTACACTACCGATCTTTCATAAGATTTAAGCTCCAAGCATTGTAGCTTAAGTTACAGACCAAAAGATAATATCTTGCATACTCAAATTTCTTCTGAAATAGCTTTAACCCCCTAAACCACCCTTGAATTTAGAACGTTGCAAAATCCCCAACTTTGTACATCTAAACCATATACATGGATTGTCATCCCAATGCAAAATTTTATTATTCTAGGCCTTATATATGTTTTGAGATACATTATAGTGATGTTTTTACATTTGTCAGTGATATGCCAATCAATATAAAGGTAGGTCAATGGAAAGCATTTATCTACGTGCCACGACCTATCCAACGACACCTTACACTTGGTGATCGGATGCATAGCAGCTTGAAAACGGATACGTCACAAAATTCGTGTTTGCCTATTAAATATATTGGGTACAATATGCCTATAAACATTCAAACTTATGGGTCAATTCGCTGCATACAAAAATCCAACAAAGTCTTTTAATAATATAGATACTTATAAGGTTAACAAGGAAACTCCAGAACCACTTGGGTGGAGCCCAAAAGTCGGATCAGGATAAAAACTACTTAGTTTTCCTATTGGCCTGAAGAATCAGTAAACCAAATTTCAACGTTCTAGCTAGTCTGGAAGTTGGATTAGTAATGAATCATTGAGTGACGGCTTTTACTTTTATATGTTTAGATTATTAGCTAAATATAACACATCTGAAAGGTACAAAATAAAATCCATAAGTTAAATAGAAGAATATAAAAACGGAGCTCCATACAAAAGCTGTCTTTAAAATTTGAAATAGGAGTTGCTGCAGACTTTTAATTTTATTCAGCGAGATTACGCCCCTGAATTTAGTATTACTCCCTCAATATGACAACACTGCTGGATAAATCTAGCTCAGTGGGATAAATGCAGCAGGCACTTGTAGAGCGAAATTTCCCACAATTTCCATGTAACCGTTTGACTGGTTTTCAGGTTATGTGACAAAATCCAAAACACAATTGAACAAGGATGCACAATAAATCGGATGTGTTTACTTTTGGGCTATTGACTTAATTATTACATCAAAAAATTAAATGTATTCTGAACTTGTGTGTGTACCCGTTGCGAAATCGAGCGTACTAGCTAGCCACCCGTGCTTCGCTAAAGGAACGCTAAAGAGAATAATAATTTATTATTATGTTCCATAGATTTGTTGTATGAAAAGTTAAATAACTCATAAAATAAATGCCTAACACCTAGCACCAAACGAATTATTTTCAAAAACTTGTTTTATATCAACTAGACAACTAGCTGTTACCCACGGGCTTCACCCCGTTCTGTTTGACTTCATAAGTATTAAAAACACTATTGATTGGTTAAGTTAAGTTAAGCTGATAATCATTTAGCGTTTAACTTACTAAACAACATCACAGATACAATTTAAAGACTTGAGAGGCCATCAATTCTGGCCCTGCCCTTCAGATTTTTGTAGAGTTTTATCGAAAAATTTGTTGTTAACAGCTATTTTTAATGTTCAAAAGTTACTTTGTTGTATTGCATTGCATATTTATCATGAAAACATCAAAACAAATTTACAGATATTTTTAGTTGTACATAAGTATTCTTTAAAGACATCAAGAGAGTTATCAAGATCCCTTAAGTTTTGTGTATTTAGTTCGCTGACGATATAAATCTGTTTGTCGAAAGTTGCTTCCCTCTATGTATGAGTCATTTTGCCTTAGGCTTAATACTTTAATTTGAAATGGCAACCATACAAAGTAGGTATTTTAAGCCAAGTACCAGATCAACAGATGTAACCTCGCACATGGATTTTAGGTAGAAATCGTGTACTCTCATGTACAAATCGTAAAAATTCGAGTCTACATAATTTCTGCATCGACAGTAGGCAGCAGCGGCCCGAGCCAATGTTCTTAGGATAGGAATAGTTAGGGTTTTCCGCCCCCTCCCCGTCCGGACTCGCCAGTCCCATGTGCCAGGTTACATCTGTTGATCGTACCAGTATGAATGAATTTTTACACTCAATGAGTGTAGGATGGATGAGTGGTGCGATTTTGTATCCTTGATGTTAGTGACTAAGGCTGACATATTCCTTAGACACAGCTGTTAATTAATAGCCCATACTTTGGGCTAATGGAAACTATAGGGACCTACAGTTTATAGTAGAATCCGAACCACATTTTTGCCTTGGTATAAACAAATTGGTCTAATTATCAGGATAGTACTGCGGATAGTCGTAGTACTCACTAGTGTGGACGTTAATTCAAACCAAGAAGTATCACATCCACAGTACATTAGATACCATACTCATTAAGGAAAGAAAATTAAATTAATCTTGAGGTATAAACATTGCATAAAACTATACAAACAAAATAATAATATTAATAATAACATTCAAAATATAGGTTTATTTTATAAACGTAATAAGTGGGTCTTCAATAATTAATTAAAACCTGATCTTTACAATTAACTTTTTACAAGATCATGCCACAACCTAACCACATATTTCACTTCCTACCAGAAATGCAATACGATAATTCTGTTAAAATTCTCCAAAACAACTTTAGAACAGACGCTGTTTGAAGCCGAGTAAACTGTTTCACAATTCCAGGAAAATTCCAAAACTTTTTTGCATTCTGTTTTGCCAATCTCCCATACTTCTTTAAGGGAAATATCATGAATATCATGCAACAAAATAAATCTGTTAGCCAATACATCAACCCAGCATAAATGTGTCCTAATTAGGGTACGGGTTTCTAAATTGACAGGATTTACAAGGTAGATTTCTTTCTCGGTAGATATCAATAGGTTACTGCCTAGGGGAAGAACGGTAGAAGAATCCACATAATCAAAATCTAAAGATTTGCTTAGTTCAGTCATATTTTTCTTCTGATTCGTTGCATCACTATGATGTACTATCTTGATGGGTTTGCCACCAATGACACTCAAATGACCACCGAAATACAACACATGTCCATTGCGAACAAACCGACTAGGCAGGATAAACTGTAACAGTGAAGTATCATAAATAATTGAGGTCCATTCTTCATGTTTTAATTTGTAGTTTACGAGGACCTTATCAGTGCTGACTCGTTCATTACAAATAAAAGTTATACTTTCTATATGTCCGATTTCGTATCTGTCTTCTTTAACCTTTTCCCCCGTCTTGATGTCCCAAATGTGCAAGAGAGGAGATTCCGAATTTATACAGGCTCCAATAAAGTAGTGTCCACAAACAACACACTCATAACGATTTGATCTGTCACGTGTTGAGTCAAAGATACTTTTAACATTGCTATCAGCTGTTAAACTACGAGAGAACTCTTCCGGCTTATCAAAAAAGAAGACATGATTCAGAACCCAGTTTTTGGAATCCAAGCAGATTTTGTAAACTTGTACTACATTACATTGGATGACAACTATCACATTGCTATTGACTATTTTATACACTTTGGCTGGCCACGACTCACACAAACAGTAGGGTATAGTCAATACTAGGACTGGAGTCTCAGCTACATTCCAAACTCGAGCTTCATATGTTCTATTTTTATGTAAAGTATGCATGTCTTCATATATATGGTCGTTGTCCAGAAATTCTAAATCATTAGGATACATGGAGTTGCTTCCATCCAATTCATATTCTATTATTTCTTTCCGAAAGCGCCCACATCTCCAATTGTTGAATACGTGTTGTTCTTGCAAGAATCGAAGCCTGTTTTCTTCAATGGGCAAAACTGCATTGTCTGTTAGTTGGAAAACAGGCTCAACGAGGCACTTGGTTTTTGAAAAATAGTGATTTGAGCTTATACAATGTCTTTTCCAAAATAAATCATCACTAAATAATCTATACCAAGTTACACTAACTCCTATGCAATTGGTTAAATCTTTTGCCGAGAGAAAAGTAACAAGTACCTCTAGAACTTCTAGGGGCAAATGCTCAATGACCAGTGATACCATCGTGACCCGGGATCTGAAATAGGAAACAAGTGTTAGTTAAGGTCCCCAGAGGCAAAAAACACTGTTTAGTACAAAGTCATATAAGTATGTTTTTTATACTGTAGCCTATATGCAACTATTAGCACGATAGCCTAAGAAATAAACGGTATCAGCAGTCTGATGCATACTTTCTCCTTGTCAACAACCTTTATTATGGGTAAGCGATGGGAGTAACTATGATATTTAACCCTTTCGTGCCCAATGATAACTTTTTTACTCATGACATTTGTACTGGAGTTTGGGAAATTTGTCTTGAAGTAGGGAATTCCAACTTCCTTCACTATACACTATGAAGTTTTCAAATTGTATTGGCAGCACTGGAATTCCTGATCAACTGTCTGGTTCAACTAATAAGTCAGTTTGTGCCATACTCTGTTCTGCCTGCTTTCTTCAGAAGCTCAACTTTGGATATTTTTTTAGGTAAGTTCCTTCATTTTTACTGAAATAAAAAAATATGTTTCTTGTTAAATATTTCATAGATATTAGTTTAATGCAATTTACCACGAGTTATAAATGTTTATAAAAATGTTATGATGTAAAAATCCCATGAGTAAAATTTTACTCATTGGGCAGTTACGGCTCAGGTCTAATGAGTAAAATTTTACTCATTGGGCAGTTGCGGCTCAGGTATCTAATGAAGATGTCTTATATTTTGACATTTTCACTTCCAGCAATATAAAAAATATAATATTGTATTAAAACCTATATTTTTATAACGTACTAAATTTATTGTATTTTATATTTATGTTTTAGATCGTGAATAAGGATAAACAGTACCATACACACTCTGAAATAGAAGAATTGTTGCGAGGGGATCGGGTGTCTGATATCGAGGAGTTAGAAGATTTGGAGGGTTAAGAATATTACAAATAATATTCTGTTGATTAGATTAGTAAACAATCTGGACAGTGGACAGTTGTATTTTTACATACTTTTACTTGAACATGTGAAGTAAATATTATAAAATATATTTTAAAAATCACCTTGTGGACAAAAAATGTTCTATTGCAATTTAAAAATTTTGTATTAACATTAGCAAGCACTTGTATTATTATTTGCTATATAATTTTTGGTATGAATATCACTCTCCATATTTTAATATAGGCCTAACGAATAAAATCTTAATAAAAACACAATTCTTGTCGATTTAATTTGCTTATTTTAAGACCTTTACTGCCCAATGAGTATTATTTTCCTCATGATTATAATTTTTTTATTAAACCTCAAAAATGTTAAAACTTATATTTTTCTAATATGTTAGCCACCAAAGAGTGTAGTTATCAACAATAAAAAATATTTTCTTATCTACATCTATGTTTGGGCATCATATGTAAAATCACAAAGTTGCCTAAATTTTTTAACCGTAATTTGTACAGGAATTGGGGAATTGTACTATTTTTTTTTTAATTATAAAGAATGGGTCACCGGAATCTTACCCTATGGAATTTTACCCCCTGGACAAAGCTAACGTCACTATGACTTAGTAACCTGAGCGCTTTAAGTTTTTTCGCGGGGGGAATTTAACCCCCTCGGATTTGGGAGTCTAATGAAAATTATAGACAGAGCGTGATAGGCTATGGGGATACCTAGGCTAAATTAGATTAGCAATAAAAGCCGGAATTTAACCCCGTGTCCATATAACTAACTAGCATTTAGGCAAATGTAGATGTACGGCCCAGATTTTTACCCCCTATGTAGATATAGAAATTATTGGGATCAATTAATTTTCTGATTTCAGTTTTGATTGAATAGTAATATTATTAAGTAGCCTATCTTAATTTATTTGTAATCTCGGGTACACTTCCATATCTGTTGGCACTAATATCGAATGAGTACTTTTTATCGATATATCGATAAAAAGTACTCATTCGATATAAAAAGTACTCCTTCGATATTAGTGCCAACAGATATGGAAGTGTACCCGTAATCTCAACTAAGTAAACATGTGTTGCTGTTTGATTTTGATATACGAGTTTCAGGATTCGACTTTTATGTATGTAAAATCAAACTGAGTAGCCCATTTGAATGATAATTGGATGAACTTTTCTCAAAAGATTTATTATAGGGCCGTGGAAAAACAATTAATTTCGAAGAAAATTAATAATTCTTACAAATTTCTATATCTGGCCAGGGGGTAGAATTCCGGGGGTACAAATCCAAGGGGTACCTATAAATCCGGGCCGAACATTTTGAGCTGACCTCACAAAGGGGGTAAAAGTCTGGGGGTGAAATTCCGGCCCGTACACTCTAGGTTTTATAATTTGATGTGTTCTGATTAAATTCACAACCATGAAAACTGATGTTGTGCAACTCAAAAGTTCGCGGTCGGAATTTTACCCCCTGGTTTGTGACGTCAGTTTTGCACAGGGGATAAATTTCCGCTACCCCGCTACAACATACTAAATTTTTATCCAAATTGTTTTGATCATTTTTAAACAAATTAGATTTTTCAGTTATTTTATGGGTTTTTATGGGGAAATCCAATTAAAAATCAAAATTTCAATAAAATGAAAAAAGAAACGCTTGGAGATACCATGGGAATGGAAGTACCTACAACATTTAAAGAGTTTGTAACTAGTGAAAAAAACACAATTAAAACGACGAGTCGCAAGCTTTTTACGCAATTTACCTTTTGTAGTAGTACGTTCGCCTCAGAGTTAACGGACGATGTCAGTGATAAACTTCAATGACAAAACTACGATTTATTCAACACAATACGAGCTTGAGTTTTCTTAACAAGTCCAAACACAAACTAAACTTGTTTACATTATTAAAACAATTCAAACATATGGCTTTAGGTTAAACCGAAAACAAAACAGTCCTCCAGTAATAATTAAATGCCAGTCTTTTAGCAAAACTTCAAAATAGATATTGAAGTGTTTGAATAATGATAAATTGAAATGCATAGTACCATAGACTAACCAACGGAGTATGTTTTATCATAGACTAACCAACACAAGTAGACTTCTCATCATCCCATTGTAAATTTTGAAGCACGTTTTTCGTGTCTAGTTCATGTACGTGACACATGGGCGCTAGTGTCGACGAAACTTTGTTTCTATTATTTTAGGGTTAATTTCATGATTTGTGCTTTACTGTTTGGTTATATAACTAGGGGACAAGTTATTGTTTATGATTAGATCGTATTATTTGGTTAAACGAGGTTTTAAATGGCTGTAATAACGGGAAACAAATTGTAAACAAAACATGACCTCTACATAAACCGTACAGAACTAACACTAAAATTGTCTTCAGCTGTTCCATAGCTAACTACAGAGGCTGTCAAGTATACCAGAAAATGACCAACAAAGATCACAATCGGGGTAGTCCTCGCAATCGCACTCAAAATGCTACTGAGAAAAAAGAAAATACTCCTTCACCCCCTGATTTGAATTCTGCTACTCATTTTCCTGAGATACATACAAACTTTTCCCCTCATGAACCTTCTACCTCACGAGTTTCATTTGCTAAAGTTACTGCTACTAGCCGCCGCAATATTAATAATTCATTCTCACAAGAACAATCTGATGATGCTCCTGATCCGTCTGTGTTTCAAAACCTTGAACAAATAATCCTAGATGTGGTGAAATCGTTCATTCCTACTCTCAAAAAGATAATAAGTAACGTGATAAGCTCTATTCTCTCAAATGGATCAGGTCAATTATTTTCAAATTAACAATTTAACCCTCCTTAACTGGAATGCCAATGGGCTTAGAGATAAACGTGCTACTTTTATCGCGTTTATGGTTAGACATAGCATCGATATTGCGTGTATTACTGAGACACACCTGACCAATGTGGAAAATTTTAAAATTAATGGGTATTCTATATACAGGGAAGATAGGCCTAATCCAGTAGCTTCAGGTGGCGTTGCAATTTTTGTGTGAAGAACTTTGGACCATCATAATATATTTTTACCTCGTTTATCTTCGGTAGAAGCTGTTGGTGTCAAAATTAATTTAAGTCATGGTGCAGACTTCCGCTTAATTTCTGTCTACAAACCCCCGAACAAACGGCTAAACAATAATGACTTGCAGGTGCGGTTTGCAGAAAATTGTTCGACTGTTGTTATGGGGGACCTAAATTGTAAACATCAGATATGGGGTTGCAGAACCACAAACCCAAATGGAAACCGTTTGTTACGACTCACAAATAACTCAAACGTAATGATTGATGCGCCACAAGAACCAACACATTTTCCATGGCAACATAATTATCAACCAGATATACTTGATTTGGTTTTGCACAGCTCCAATCATTCAAAATGTTTTACCCGAGCTGGACTCTGACCATTCTCCCGTTATAGTAACCTTCTTCACGCAACCTCAATTCAGTTGTCCACCTCAACGATTAATTAATGGAAAGATAAATTGGGAAATTTTCAGTGCAGAATTGGATAAATGTTTAGAAGGTATGCCTAAATTATCGTCTTGCATCGAAATAGAAAACTCTGTAAAAATATTTACCGAATCATTAAAAACTTGTGCCAGGAAAGCTATCTTAAATCCCTCACAATCCACGCCAAATAACGACTACTATCATCCTCCGATGAGAATAATGCGTCTGATTAGAGAAAAACATAAGGTTAGACGACTTTGGCAGCGATACCGTCTACCACACTTTAAAAGGCAACTCAACGAACTGGGAAGACGAGTGAAAACAGAACTCGAGGAATTTAGAATAGACAACTATAAGAAGTATGTTTCTGATATTCATCCGAGTGACCCAAATATGTGGAAAGCAACTAAACGTCTTTTAAGTACTCCTTCGGTCATACCTACGTTGAAAAAAGACAACCTAATCTGTGAGACTGATTCACAGAAGTGTGAACTGTTGGCAGATTTTTATGAAAGTACATTTCAACCCACTGATCTTGCTGATTATGGTGACGATGAGATGGTGAAAGAGACTTTGAATGGACAATTTTTATCTGCTGAACTCAACTACCAATAAAGTTTGCACGCCAATCTGAAATTAAAGCAGTAATTAAAAAACTTCCACTCCGTAAATCACCTGGCCATGACCTCATTCCTAATATTATTTTGAGAAATCTCACAAATAAGGGCTTTTCATATTTCACATCAATTATTAATGCATGTTTGTCTAAATCTTACTTCCCTTCTATTTGGAAGCATGCGGAAATATATCAGTTATTCATAAACCCAATAAACCAAAGTCTTCTCCATCGAGTTACCGTCCAATCAGCTTACTTTCTACACTAAAGTTTTTGAAAAAATCATCTTGAAACGAATTGCCTGTTACATGGATGCTGCAAATATAATTCCTGCTCATCAATTTGGATTTCGGCCAAAACATTCGCCCACACATCAAATCTTACGAATATATGAAACGATAGTCAAAGGGTTTGAGAGGAAACAGCACACAGTAACGGCATTTCTTGACATATCTCAAGCATTTGATAAGGTATGGCATGACGGTCTTGTCTTTAAATTGATTAATTTTGGATTTCCAAAATATTTAACCAATATTGTAAAATCGTTTCTCTGTCACAGGACCTTCTCTGTTAAAATAAGTTCTTCCAAATCATCTATACGGCGAGTCAATGCAGGAGTTCCACAAGGTTCAATTTTGGGCCCTGTATTGTTCAATCTATACATGGCAGACATCCCTCTTCCAGAAGACGCCTCATTAGCTCTCTACGCCGACGACACTGCTATCCTGTGCCAGCATTCCGACATCCACGAGGCCACGTATTCCCTGCAATACTCTGTGGATCTTCTTATTGATTGGTTCTACAAGTGGACATTTCGCCTAAATTCAACAAAATGTGAAACCAAAATATTCTCCTTGAAAAAACATACATTGCCACATGAAATTCAAATATATGGTAACTTTCTACCTTGGAACCCTGATGACCAGGCCATAAAATATCTTGGAGTATGGCTGGACAAAAAACTTAATTGGAACTACCAGGTTAATCAAAAACTGTCCCAAGGTTATGCACGCCTTGCAAAGCTTTTCCCTTTAATCAATAGGAAATCTACTCTGAAGCCAGCTTGTACAGTTCTAATCTATAAATCAATAATTCGGCCCTTGATTACATATGCATCTCCTATCTGGGGATTAGCTATATCAAAAAACAAACTCTTCAAAATTCAAGTGATTCAAAACAAAATTCTAAGAATAGCGGTGAATGCTCCCTGGTTTGTTAGAAACAGGCATATACATGAAGAACTAGGAGTGGAGTCTATCTCGGCCTTTATTGAAAAAACCACCTCAAAATTTCTAAAATCTTTAAACGATGTTCCTGGTGCATTAACTTTTCATCTTGGTGAAGCAACTGAGAACAGGAGGCTACGTCGAAGGCTCCCTCAAGATCTATTGGAGGAATGAAGCCTAAAGAAGATTAAATTATTCTCTAAATTAATTATGTTACAGGGTGACTCAGGTTTGGGCAAACCCACGATGTTATTATAGTTAATTTCTTATCAATTTTGTTAACACTTCTGTGTATAATGTCTTCATTGAACCAGAAATAAATGATGCTGTAAAAAAAAAACTAGGGGACAAGTTATTGTTTATGATTAGATCGTATTGTTTGGTTAAACGAGGTTTTAAATGGCTGTAATTGCGGGAAGCACAATTTTTATTTCAGCTGCAGTTATTTTAATAAGAACAAAATGAGAGCATCCTATTGGCTGAGGGAACACCATTAGCGCAATGAAACGGGTTGAAGCCATCGGCCTCGGTGGTCTAGTGGATAGCGTGCTGGTCTACTAAACTTATGGTACCGGGTTCGAAACCCGTCAGGTGCACAAACTTTTTGTCTAAGATTTTTGCATTATCAGCAAGTTTGGTTAGTTTTGTTAGGTTATAACAGTTAAGTTTTATAATTAAAACCTTATAAAATTGAATTTGAGCTATTTGTAGTTTTAAATAAATAAATAAATAAATATATCTTTATTGTCACATAAACGTTTTACAGATTACATAGCATAAGCTACAAAAACAGGTGACATTGTCAATATAATCATATATCATAATAAGTACCTAAAATACTAAAAAATAAACAATGATTCTTACAAATAATTATTTGGGTTATTTTATAAAACATAATATTTGCTAATTTAAAAAATTACCATCATTAAAAAATTCGTCAATACTATAATATATTTTGTTTACAAGAAATGAGGCAAGGCTGCTTTTAAAAGACGTTTTGTTTATTAAATCTTTATATTTTGGTTGCAGTTTATTAAACAATTTCTTTCCCATATATTTTGGTGTTTTTTCTATTAATTTTAATCGGTGAATCGGAAACTGAAAATTCTTTTTGAAACGGGTGTTATATGGATGGTCAAAATTCTCTGCACATAAGTTTTCAAAATTTGACTGTACCATTAATAAGGATTTAAAAATGATTAAACTTGGTACAGTCATTATATTAAGTTCTTTAAAAATTGGTCTACATGATTGTTTTCGTTTAGCAAATGTCATTATTCTTAAGTATTTTTTTTGAACTTTAAAAATCTTTTCTATTTCTGATGAGAATCCCCAAAATTCAATCCCATAATGCAATATTGAATAAAAATTGGCATAATATATCATTAAACGTGTTTTCATATCCAAAATATTTCTCAAACAAAGCATTTGGAAACAGGCAGAATTAAGCTTATGTAATATGTTTTCAATGCACTTGGCCCAGGTTAAATTTGAATCAACATACAAACCTAAAAATTTT